AACGCTCATCTCACCGATGACTACCATAGTTAAGCAAGACTCAATGGTGAAAATCATATATTCATATTTAGTTGGGTATTCTGCCTGTGTTGGTGCACATGGGCCCAAAAAGACATTAGGGTCCATTTAGAGGCATGGAGGTAGTCAGGATGAGGCTAATAAGGAGGCTTAAAAAAGGACTGTAGGCACACTGGTAAGTTCATATTTAAATAGATATATATAGAATTGTTTTACCTGCCAAATAATTGTAAGTGTGTGTGATTCACATGAATAACTCCTGATAAACTGTACAGTCAGACAGGAGTCACCATTATTTACAGCACTGCCTTTGAAGCTGGCAGTGTTACCTGTCGGCTCACTGCTCAGCCAATCGTAATACAGTAAACTCCTTGTTATCCGACATTCATGGGGATTGGTAGATTCCGGATAAATCTAGTTTCTGGTTGATTGCGAGTTACTATTAAAAATAGATCTAACTAATGTCATACCCCATACTATACCATATCATAACATAAACACTGTATTGACTTCATATTAATATTGAAATGCAGTAATCAAAAGCAAATAAAGACAAATAGACACACGACCATTTTCAGGATAATACACACCGCAGATCAGCAGAACAGTGAGGAGTACACAGGGGATATGTTTTTCTGGTTAGATGAGAGTTCTGGTTAGTTGAATACCAGATAACGGAGAGTTTATTGTAATCGCACAACTAATTTGCTGTATAATAAGAAGATCGGTGACCCAGGATGCTTCACTGCTAAATAGGAAATAGTTACTTTAAAGCAGAGCTAAAGGCAAAACTTCTATTAAACCTTGCAGGGGGGCTACCTCCGCACAGCAAGAGTTAACTGCTTGTTTTCGTCTAGGTGTTAAATAAAAATTCATTTCACCTGAACCTCGGAGCAGGCTTGTTCTTAAACCAGTCCTTCCAGCCTCTCTCCCCCTCCTCTGCAGCGGTCTAAGGTCCCGTAAAGAACGTGAGGACACTGAGGCACATTACAATGCTGCAGTGCAGGAGGAGAGAGGCTTAAGAGACCAGAGAAGTAGGGAGCCGGCTCAGCGGTTAAGGCAAGTATAACTTTTTTTTTAGCACCTAGACAAAAACAAGCAGTTAACCCTTACAGTGTGGGGATAGGCCCACTGTAAGGGTTAATATAAGTTTTGCCTGGAGTTCTTCTTTAAGTTTTTTAACTGCCTGTATATGTGGCAGAGGTGTGTGAGCTACAACAATCGTTAAACCGAACTGTCTTTTTTGTAATTCAAACAGTGAGAATAGATATTTTTCAGCTCTGTGTTTGCCTGATGTTCAGCTTTACCTGTCTAAGGCCCCATTCACACCAGGGTGGCAGCATTTCAGTGCGGTTTCCGCATGATTTTAGACAGGGTGTTTTTAATCGCGTTTCAGCACTAAAACGCAATTAAAAGCGCCCAAAAACCCGCTGATCAGCGCGTTTCTATAAACATTTCTATGGAAAATGCGCTGATCAGCGTGACGCATTTTGGGCGGCAGGCGTTTCGGATTGCGCAGATCAGCGCGCTTGCATGAGCGGCCCCCGTAGGAATGTATGGGATTGTTCGCCCTGGTGTGAACGGGGTCTAAGAACTGTGCCATGTAATTGAGCACCAGTAGAGGTACAGGAGTTGTAGCTTGTGATTCTGTTGATTCCATTGAGGGTGCAGCTGTTGCCACAGGAGACAAAGCAAAATGGGCAGCTGCAGTTGTAGGTACAACAAATTGTAACTGCCCTGTGATTTCTGGATGAAGACGTTTTTTCAAGTGATTCCATGGCTAGATGGCACTGCACATACTGTATGTGGAGCAATTATGAGCCTCAAAGATGCTGTTACTAAACATTACTAGAATCAGATTTGTTGTTTTCCCCTTATATATTATTTAGGTCTAAACTATTATTATTTTACTAATAAGTGGTTGGCATTTTCATTTATGCATCTTCCCATGAAATAATAGTATGACCAGTTTCCGGTTACCTCAAATTACTGTTTACTATTCTACCAGTCCACTCTGCCCTTAATTCTGAATATATTATCTTATATTCCTTCAGCCTTTTTTTGCTGTCTGGAAGAGTGCCGGCATTTCACCGTACTTGAACATGGATGCAACAGTAGCTACTAGTCAGCCATGAATAATTACATATATACTTTCAGAAAATACTATTGTTAAAAATAATGAAATCCTGATAAGATTGTCAGGGCTATTCACAAAAGGGTGAAGAGTTTGGAGAAGACAGGAGAAGTGAACAATTCTCCAATTCAGCTCACTTTCCAGTTCAGCTATGTTGTCTTAGATTGTTCACTTCTCCTGCCTTCTCCAAACCCTTCACCCGTTTGTGAATAGCCCTGTAAATACCTTTAAAGTGGTCAAATTTATTATAATGGAGATTCCACATTCCACAAATGTGCCACCATATCTTAGGACACTATAGCCTTGTACACTGATGTTCTGGGTTTTAGTACTAAATGGGCCTAATCTGAATGGAGTATATTTTCCTCCATGTCATGTGCGTTTCTTACCCCAAACTCCAAGAACACATTGGCAGGTTAATCAGCTTCTGACTAAATTAAAGGAGAACTATGGGGTTATGGGGTGAGTGTTTTTCCCCCATAGTTCTCCTTACGGTAACGGGATTACACAAACTAGCGTCCTCCCGTTACCCTAAGCTCAGTATACCGCGAGCTACAGCTCGCGGTATACTGAGACGCAGCAGCCGGAGCGGCTCCCGACCTGGACGTCAGGATCCGCCCAGCTGCGTGAGTGAAAGCTGGCTCTGCCAATCTAGAGGCAGAGCCAGCTGTACCTGCCTCCTCCCCTGTCCATTCTGCCAGTCAGCGCTGGCAGATTGGAGCGGGAAGAGGGGAATCCAGCCCCTCCCCCTGTCAGGGCAGTGAGCCGTGACAGGATCGAGAGGTGAGCGAACCCGGTATGTGTTCGCTCACCTCCCGATCTACTGAGCCAACATGTGACAGTCTCATTGTTAGAACTATGAGGTGATCGGAAATCACTCATCTCATAGTTCTCCTTTAACCACAGTGTTTGCAGCTATATGACTGTTGTAGGGACCTTAGATTGTATATTAAAACTCTTTGGGGCAAGAGACTGATATGGTTGGCTGAATCTCTTTGTTGAACCACTGCAGAACATGAAGGTACAAGTAATGAGAAAACAGTTTTTGCCATGGGAAATATAAAGTACAACAAATAGCTGTGCCTTCAGCCAGACAGAAAAGAGATAGATAATACATCACAAAGTATAAGCTGGAGGTGCTACATGTTGCTTCACCATATTTTTTCATGAGAAATGACATTTTCAACAGGGTTGTCTATTCATAAGCTTGCTCAGTGCAATTTCATCATTCATTTTGGCCATATTTCAACTAAGGTAAAAACATTACGACAAAACCTATTTTGAAGATAACTGTGCACTGAAAATGCTTTCAGTCATTTATGCTACCATAAACCTGGGTTAATGTGTGCTTCAGTTATATATTTTCATGTTAATTGCTAGCATGCTAAGCAATAGGTATGCATAATATTTACAGGAAATTGTCATCTCTTGCATAGATTTTGCCCATTTTTCTCCAAGAAGGAAGACTTGCACTATCTTTGTTCAGGCATCATTCACAGTCACTATCTGCTTCCTAGACTAACACGCAGGTCCAGAGATGATGTGTGTGTTCATTTCAATACTAAACAGATAAGTGCACTTTAACATAGGGCACACTTATCCTTCCTGCCTAGACCCCATAACTCTCCCCACCCCTCTGACCTAAAGTAACCCACCGTTTCCCGTGATGCAAACATACTTGAATCTCAGAGCTGTGGCCTTCTCCAGTCTTGACATCCAAAATCGTCTTGTCTATGACCCCCCTCAGCACAGTGTATCTCCACAGCCTTCAATGGGACTGTCTCCTGAGCATCTCTATCCTCAGGTGATCAGGAGATGGTCCTATAGAAGTCTACTGGCACTGACTGTGAAGGCACAGCCAGTGACACAATGATTTTGCTCATGGGAGTTTTTCTTTATTATTATATTGTTACTGCATATTGTGACTTGAATGGAATTTATTCATGCAGACTTGTTAAAGAGGAACTCCAGGGATGTAAAAAGTTAACCCTTGCAGTAGGGCTAACCCCCCACCACCACCACCACGCACGCACGCACGCACGCACGCACGCACACACACACACTGTGATGGTTAACTGCTCGTTTTTCTCTAGGGGCTCAAATAAAAAATATATACTCAACCGATCCTTGATCCCGTCTGGCTGCTATAGCCCCTTCTCCCCCAGGCTCCAGCAGTCTTAGCCCCACTGACATCATCACGTCTAATATAGTCCATTCACCTGTATTAGACATGAGCAGGCCGAGGAACACACAACATGCGGACAGAAGGGGGAGAGAGGTGAGCACTCACCACCGCAGGACCGAGGATCAGGTAAGTATATCTTCTGAATGTTGGCCCCTAGAAAAAAAGGAGCAGTTAACCCTTGCCGTGTGAGGTTAGCCCCACTGCAAGGGTTAACTTTGTATATACCTGGACTTCTTTAATTTTATAATAGGGCCACTTTAATCTATTTATTTTCAAGGACAGTTGGAGGAAGGACGTTACTCACGATGATGTCATTTTTTAATTTTTAACCAATCTTTCTACTTTTTAACCATTTCTTTCACTTCACTTTGATGCTAGTGCACATATTTCCATTTCAAACATTGGAGAAATAAATTATGAGAAAAATAAGGCAGTGTGGAAAAAAAATAGAAGCAATTAATTTGTGGCGCTCGACAAACAGATCCCTGTAACTGTACAATGAAACCCGCAATAACATACTGTGATCAATCAAATATAGTATCTATACTGCAGAAAGATTGTGCAATTAGAAAAGAGATTGCTGCAGGGAGCACCAAGCGCCGGAAAAAGGTCTCTAAGTAATGATAAGTAAATATATCCTATTAGAAGACTTTTATATCTTACCTGGAGAAAGCAGTGCCCCAAAGCTGAATGTTCTGGCAAAGTTACATTGTAGAACTGTTGTAAGAAGACTGGTTCATTGTCATTGGTATCCTCAACCATTATGGTCACATGGCAGCTAGATGATAGTGGAGGGTTACCCTGGTCAGTAGCCACAACCACCAGGTTTATCACAGTCTCTGTTTCATAATCCAATGCCATTGAAATGCTCAGAACCCCTGTATATGGGTCTAGTATAAAAGCAGAAGAAGAAGCACTGCTCAGAAGAGTGTAAATTATGTCAGCATTTGGGCCATCCTCATCTAAGTCCTGTGCATTAATATTGAGGACAGCAGTACCAGGAGAAGCAGATTCTGAAACTGTCACTTGGAATCCATTAGACTGCTTAAAAACTGGTGGTTGATCATTTAAGTCAGTAATGCTAAAAAGTAATATTTTTAGAGTCTGTAATGGAGGGGAGCCTGAATCACTAGCAAGCAAGCGCAGTTCATATAGATCTTTTTGTTCGCGATCAAGAAGAGCGTCAACACACAGGAAATATACTTGTGGTCCAACAGGATGAAGAGAAAAGGCACCATCAGCACCTTCCAAAGTCAGTGACACATGCTGAGGTGCTCCAGTACCCCATGGATTAAAATTATGTTTTTCTTCAGCAACATTCAAAGGATTTTTGCTTTGCGGTATATTTACTACTGGTGGTCTTTTTGCTTGTGAATGTCCTACCACACCAACATTTTCTCTACTATCTTGAAATCTGCCTGCATGACTTCCACTCCCCTTATCATCACTGGTTTCCCAAGGCTCTTCCTCAAATTCTAAATCAGGGTCAGAAACAGAAATTCTTGCTAAGTACTCTCCTATTCGTGCTCCTTCTGATACTTCCGGTTGCCCACTCTCAGTAAGTAGGGTGACCTGTATGCTGGGTTTGTTATCATTAACATCAAGGACTTTTACCATGACAAGAACACTAGAAACTTCAGGTTGGGATCCACCATCTTTAGCTTGGACTACCAGCTGATGAACATTTTTTTGTTCTCTATCCAGGGGGCGACTGACCCTAACAATTCCAGTACTTTCTTCAACACTGAAATATTCCTCACCAGACCACAAGCTATAACTAACTTCCCCATTGCTACTTATATCAGGGTCAGCTGCATGAACAGTGCAAATTGAAGAGCCTGCAGGGGCATTTTCCCACACCCAACCCTTATATTCAGACTGATCAAAGGTTGGCGGGTTATCATTTGCATCCAACACAGTTATGTCTACAAAAAGCCTTCCTGTTCTACGTGGATAACCACCATCAAAAGCTTCAACTTCTAGCTGATACCTATCCAGCTCTTCTCTGTCAAGCCAATGCACTAATACTAGATCTAGCGGGTGGAGGCGAGAATCAGTAGATGACCCTTCTACCTCTACTTCTTCCTGTGAATCAGAATTGTCAGCATTTCCCCTTGTATCAGGATATACTTCATACATATAACCCTCAGGATTTGTATCATACCCCAGGACAGGTGATTTCAAATGTTCACTAAATACCTCTTCCCCATTAAACCCAGCCTCGGCATGCTCAATATTTGACTCCCTCTGCTGTCCTCTTTCTGAATATGAGCCCCTCTTTTCTTCTTTACTAGACAGATCTCCGCCTCCTATCCATGACCCCTCACTGTCTAACCCTAATCCCTTACTGGCTGTCCTAAACTCTGCTGTATCCAGGTCTAATTTGTCCTGTTCCTGGCTAGAATTATGTTTTTGATTCCAAACCTGAAGAGTTGCTTTTGGTCTACTAAAACTCTCTCCCCCCCTTACCTGTTCAGCTACCTGACCCCAATCCTTCCCAGCAGCCCCAACACTAGACTTGCTATCCCCATACCTGATGATAAAAGCAGCTTCCTGGCTGCCTCTGAGTAGAGAGTAACCTCTTAATCCAAATTCTCCCTTATCAGGATCCCATGCTGCAGGTAATCTGAACGTAGTCCCAGGGGGAGTCAGCTCAGATACTTGTAAATGAAGTGACTGTACAGGAAAGGTGGGAGAGTGATCATTGACATCACGTACTCTGATCTCTACCTGCACCACCTCCCCCAGCAATGTGGCAGCCACAAAACTGTAGCGTTGTCTTCTCTCTCGGTCCAGGATTCGCAGGGTCCTTACAATGCCAGTGTCTGTGTCTATGTGAAAGTCCCTGAGCACCGGTGACTCGCCACTTTCCTCTGATAAGAAGAAGCCTTCACCTGGGCTCCCCTCCGGCAATCCTGCGCGGATGTCTCCTACCAGGGTACCAGGGGGCAGCCCCTCATCCACTGCCAGGCTGAGATTGTACACCTGAGCTCTGCAGCAGCAGTCCATACTCAGCAACATCAGCACCAGCAGAGAGTGCAGAGACAAAATGTGCCGACAGCAACCCATCATCACTCTGTCACCTCTGCTGCACTTCACTCTATTCCTCATAGCCATCCTCTGCTGCTACAACTGCACCAGTACATCCAACACCTTCAAGAGTTCTCCTCTGCCATGCACATACATAGATGCCCTCCTGTGCCAGTCTTTGTCAAGCTCCTTCTTTTCTCTTAAATATCCAGACGATGTCTAGGTCTTCTCTTGTCTGCAGTTCATATTTAAATTCAAGGACTGTTTCTTTTAAGGTCCAGATGACCTGGCACAGACTGCTAGTTTGATGCAGAAAAAAAAGAACTCCCTCCTTCCTTGAAACAAATGCTGTATCCTGTCTCTCGTATTGTCCTATGAGCAGGAAAAAAAATCTTTAGTATTTCCATTCACATCTGGTTTTCTTCTGCTGGAATTCTGTTCTTTCCCATCGAATCAGGTGCATGCTCTGTATTATTGGAGTGCAATTTTTTTTTTCTTCTGGATTAGGAAAATAATATGATCCTCTGGAGCAAAAGATAAGAGAAAGAAGCAGAAAAAAAGTTGATGGGAATAACAAGTGTGTGTGGCAGTAGTAGCAGCAGCAGCAGCAGCAGCAGCCCCTGTCCCCGCAGTGTCTCCTCCTCCCTGCTCAGACAATCTGTGCCTCTCTCTCTCTGATCTGCTTGTCTAGAGCTGAGCTGCTCCTGAGCACGTGATCCTCAGGCAAGGGCAAAGCCTGCTCGTTGCATTGCACTGCAGCAAGCATCTGCTCTACTATCAGCACTACCCCAGCCCTGACTGCACACACACCAGCCTTTCCCTGCATGAACTTCCACAGAACTTCAGCAATCCCACACTAAATAGCATGTACACTACTTTGTGTCTTCTAGAAAAGCCACTCAGCAGAGGAATCACTTTGATCTGTAAGGGGGATGCAGTGTCTAAACATTGTATATTTATTTTGGCAACTTTGTATACAGTTTGTACTTGCTGTTATGTTTTATTTCAATGTAACCATTGTGCTTTACAACAACATAAAAGTTTATTATAGGATGAACCCTTTCTTGCTGGCACATCATTTCTCGGTATAGTAACCACAAGTTAGAAGAAATGTATAAAACAATGTCAGTCGAGTCTCCATTTGTAATCTTAAAGTGACACTAAGTCCCCGTTCACACCAGGGCGTTTGTAGCTTGTATTTTTCAGCACGGAAAAGCTCTGTAGAAGCCTGTAAAGGTGCCCATACGCCTTGCGATTATCGTACGATTTTTGTATGCGATCGCGTTTTCGGATGATAATCGCAAAGTTGATGGTGAGTCTACAACCAAAGATACTGTACAATCGTAGGACGTTCGTCTTTCCAGCATGCTAGAAAACTTCAGTCGATCGTACGATTTTCGGCGGGTTAGTGGCGTGGTTGTACAATGAAATTTGTACGATCGAAACAGCCAATCATCTAATTAGTGGTGGAGACAAACGATAATTGCAGGTCTGTGCATGATGGGTTGGTTGTGCGAAAATTTAATGAGGTTACAGCCATCTTAAAACAAAATTGTACGATAGTTGTAAGGTGTATGGGCACCTTAAGTATGCGCCTCTTTTTAGGGAGATCAACGCGATGTGACCCTTTTTCCTGTTCCTATCTGCCCAAAAAAGAAGCTTGTGTACCTTTTTTCAGCGACCGGCTTTTTACTCAGCGCGACGGTGTGCTGAGACTTGAACGTGGACTATAGAAATTAATAGGATTTCTTGTGCGGAGCTTTTCCGTGCTGAAAAATACAAGCTACAAACGCCCTGGTGTGAACGTGGGACTTAACTCAGGAGTTAAGATAATTGAATGCATTTTTAAGATTTAACTATTAACAAAAGTGTACCTTATTTGTGCATCACTCAGCTGTGACACTAAACTTAGAAGTTAAATCTTACAAATCCATTCCAGTACCTTAACTAGTTCTGTGCTGGGTCCCATATTGTTCAACTTATTTATTAATGACATCGGGAGGGTGTTAACAGCGATATTTCCGTGTTTGCAGATGACACCAAAATAGGGAGGGTAATAGACACGGACTTAGACATTATAACATTACAGGAGGACCTGGATAAAATAGGGGAGTGGGCATTAATGTGGCAGATGAGGTTTAATGTCGATAAATGCAAAGTAATGCACTTTGGAATTAAAAATAAACAAATGGGTTATACAATTATGGGTATGCCGCTGGGGAAGTCAGAAATGGAGAAGGATTTGGGGGTCATTGTAGACCACAAACTGAAAGGTAGTTTGCAGTGCCAGGCTGCTGTAAACAAAGCTAGCAGGGTCTTGTCCTGTATTAAAAAGGGGATGTATTGCAGGGACAAGTCTATAATTTTGCCACTTTATAGATCATTGGTTCGACCTCATCTGGAGTACGCGGTCCAGTTCTGGTCACCAGTACTAAGAAAAGATGTACTTGAGTTGGAAAAAGTCCAGCGGAGGGCAACCAAACTAATTAGGGGTATGGAGGACCAGAGCTACGAGACAAGGCTACTAAATTTAAACATGTTCACATTAGAGGTGAGGAGATTAAGGGGGGATATGATTTCCATGTACAAAATGTTCAATGGTGGTAGCAACATTAGCGATAAACTGTTTAAAATTAACTCCGTTACAAAAACTAGAGGCCATCACCTAAAATTGGTGGAAAAAAAATTCCAGCACAAGGGGCGAAGGGGGTTCTTCACAGTAAGATCAGTTAGGGTCTGGAACTCACTGCCACAGGCGGTGATTTCAGCAAATAATGTGGAATTGTTCAAGAAACTTTTGGACGATTTCTTAAGGGACCGTAATATACAGGGGTACAGGTAATATACAGGGGTACAGGTACTCCTAGAATGAGATCCTAATAGGTTGGACTTGATGGACTAATGTCTTTATTCAACCTCAAATACTATGTAACTATTAAGAAAAATGCATCACTCAGCTGTAGATCCTCCAATCATAACTGAATTCATACTGAAACTGTCCTTCCTTCTGGACGGTGACTACTTTTGTTCTCCATGGTCCCTGTGTGTGTTGTAAGTTCACTCTCATGATGCACTGCAATCTCAATACAAATCAGTAAACTGAACGTGAGATTGTAGACCATCATGGGAGTGGGCTTGGAGCGGTGGCTACTTTACAACACACAGTAGGACCATGGGGAACAAAAGTAGCCACGCTAATGTCACCTAGGGACCCCAAAGAAGCAGATGAAGCAGAGATCTGACTCGCCAGCTTCTTTTCTAGCTACAGCAGCCGGAGGAAATGACAGACTGAAAATCACTTCCACATTAAGTGATCGGAGGGGCCACTGGAAGTGTACTGATCTCCCTCCAATCCCACCACAGAGACCTGTCATGGTCCCAGGCCTGCACAGGGGACAGCAGAGCCCTAGATAGTCGGCAGTGGTAGTGAAGGGGAGGGGGTCCGCACTCTCCCACGCACTATACAAGTGATGTAGCAGTCGTCGCCGGCTGTTTGAAGGGGGTGCGTGAGCCATTTGTTAAAGGTGGCCTGCTGGGAAGAGCGAGATGTCCATCCATTTGTACATAACAGGAGGACAGCAAGGAGATAAATACTGTCCATGTCTTTCCTATAGACATTGCTTACTGAGCCAAGACCCACAATTTGGAGGTTCAGCACTTAGTTTGATAGTAGTCCCTGCCCCCTCCCTTCATTGCAGAAGTAAAGTTTCCCATTGCTTTAAAGTAGCCAGTACCCAGCATATGAACATTAACCCCTATGTGCAGTCCTCATCCTACATGCATTAACCCCCAAGCACCTAGTTCTCAGGTCAGTTGCTTGGCATTTGTGTGTAAACTCATCAGCAACAGGTCCCCGTCACATGTGTAATAGTCCTTCAGTACCTAGCACATGTGTGGTAACTCCTCAGCTCCCAGTCTCCAGTGCATATACAACAATCTCCCACTTTTATTCCAAGCACAATGCCCAATATTAGCCTTATCTCCCCTGACCCTGACCCTGACTCAATAGTCATTTCAGCTCCACTGCCCCAATTCCAAATTAAATATTCCTTGTCAACAAAGCCCTGTCCCTTGTTCCCAGTGCCTACATTTCTGGAAGGCTTACATGACCTCAGTCTTTTCTGCCTCTTACCGTGTGACTGGGATGTCATGGATGAATACAGAGTTGGCTGAAAGTCTAGGAGAAACATGCTCCAAACATAAATACAACTTAGATACTTAAGCAGGGTCCGCCCATGTCTAGCATTAAAATATAGTAAATACAATATCCAATCCTGCACATACAGCCATCTGTCATATTTTTTTTCACTTTTCTCATGCACACACTGCCCGCTGTCACTCCTCTCATGCACACATTGCCCAGTGTCACTCCTCTCCTGCACACACTGCCCGCTGTCACTCCTCTTTTGCACACACTGCCTGATAACACTCTTCTCCTGCACACACTGCCCACTGTCACTCCTCTTATGCACACACTGCCCGCTAACACTCCTCTCCTGCACACATTGCCCGCTGTCACTCCTCTCCTGAACACACTGCCTGCTGTCACTCCTCTTATGCACACACTGCCCACTGTCATTCCTCTTATGCACACACTGCCCGCTAACACTCCTCTCCTGCACACATTGCCCGCTAACACTCCTCTCCTGCACACATTGCCCGCTAACACTCCTCTCCTGCACACATTGCCCGCTAACACTGCTCTCCTGCTCACACTGCCCACTGTCACTCCCCTCCTGTACACACTGCCCACTGTCATTCCTCTTATGCACACACTGCCCGCTAACACTCCTCTCCTGCACACACTGCCCGCTAACACTCCTCTTATGCACACACTGCCCACTGTCACTCCCCTCCTGCACACACTGCCCGCTGTCACTCCTCTCATGCACACACTGCCCTCTGTCATACTTTTTTCACTCCTTTTTTGCACACACTGCCCGCTGTCACTCCTCTCCTTAACACACTGTCCACTGTCACTCCTCTCCTGCACACACTGCCCACTGCCACTTTTCTCCTGCACACACTGCCCACTGTCACTTCTCTTCTGCTCACACTACCTGCTGTCATACTTTTTTCACTCCTCT